TGCTTAAAGCAGCATTTTATGGAGCACCAGCTGATCATCTTATTATTCCATATACAGCTGAATGTAAAGAACCAACGAAATCATGGGTTTCACTTTATATGAGACCAGTTGTTGTTCCAGGAGTAAAAGGAGTTAAAGGATTTGAACATGAAAAAGCTACTGAAATGCATTTCTTTGTACCAGGAAATATGGTTTCATGTCTTGATTTTGTAGAATCAGTTTTTGGAAATGCTGGTAATCCTAGATTATCTAAAAATGATGCAGCACTTGATCCACTTGGATGGACTGGACATAGTGGAATGGCTATTCTTGCACCACATCTTACTCGTATGACAAAAAAAGAATGTGGACTTCCACATATTAGTCAAGCAACAGAAAGACAAAAAAAAGAAAGAATGTGTTGGGAAAAAGAAGATGAATTATATAATGATGGAAAAACATTTAAAATGTATTGTAGAGATGCATCAGGAATTATTTGTACTATTATTGCAGATAATTATTTTGGATATTGTAAGAAAGAAGTTAAAACACAAATTTCATATTCAGCTAATTTATATGGATTTGCAGAAGAAGAACATGCAGGAGGAGCTATTGCCAGACCATCATATGATCTTGGAGAGTCATGTGATGCTAGTAAATATGCTGAAGGATATAAATTTAGTGAAATGATTGAAAAGAATAAACAATCAATAATTGTTAAAGAAGAAGGATATGCTATAGATAAAAAATATCCAGAAGGAATTATTTATGTTCCAGAAGATTCAATATTTACTATTGAAGATGCATCAGTTAAATTTAATCATAATGGAAAAGAAGAAAGTATTCTTTTAATACCAAAAGTAAATTATGTTTTACCAAATGGTTATACTATTATTTTACATGATACAATGACATCAAGAAGATGGACATTAAGAGGAATTCTTCCACAATATACTCTTTGTCATAAACCATGTACTGTTTCAGGAGGAGGAAAATCAGAAATTTCAAAGAGTATTCGAGATGCTGTTATTGAAGGAAGTGTCTTTGTTAACAATAAAGAAGAAGATTTTAAAGCAGTTCAAGAAATCTTTGACCATGACTTCTCTAAAAGATATGCAAATGGAGAAGTTAAGCCAATTCGTATCCTTGATCCAAATGTTACTCTTGGAACAGTTGTTGAATTATTAACACCATCACGTCTATTTACAAAAGAACATAATGATTATATTTCATCTATTTCACCATTAATTGTAGAATTAGTTATGACTATTAAATCTCTTTATAGAGAAGATTGGAAAGGAGATTGGCAATCAAGAATTACTGTAGATAAAATTAATGGAAATCAAGGTAATGAATTAAAATACAGAGGAGCTAATCTTTGTTCACAATATCTTAGAGTTGGATTTGAACGTGATGAAACTACATGGAGAGTTTTCCAATTAAGAAAAGATTTCTTCCCAGCTGCTAAATTACAAATGGAAGATGATATTACAGCATCAGTTATTGTTCCAACTAAATTACTCAAAACACCAATTAATAATATGCAAAAGAAAGCATGTAAAATTGTTAATAATTGTGAATTAAGATTATTCCAAAGACCAGATGATGCCGTTTTTAGAGGATTTGATAAACAAACTGAATATGATTTTTCAATTCCAGGACATTTTATTTCTAATTATCAACCAATGACTAGAGAAGAAGCTAAAGACTTTACTAAAGATGTTGTAAGATTATATCAATATACTGAACCAATGAGAAAATGTTTACAAGATTTTGTTGCAGGTAAAGATGAAGCTAAATATATTGTTTCATCATCTTACACTAGATTAGTTCAAGAAGGTGACAAACTTGTTGGATCAAAGAATCCAAGATATTTACAAAGAAGACCAGATATGTTAGATCCAGAGAATACATATATGACATTTAAAGCTATTCAATTATTTAGAAAAATTAGTGATGAAGAACCATTATATACTCCAGTAGATGCAGTTCTTTCAGGAAGAAGAAATAATCCACCACAAGTAGCTAAAAATGGTATGAAATTAAGACCATTATCAGTTTTTGCACCATTACATTATTTTGAATTACCAGAATTATTAATGGAATGTATTACTTCAATGACAGGTGCATCACCATCAATGTTTGGAGCAGGATCTGAAGGAGCATTAACTAAAGGACCATTTAATTCACTTCCAGCAGTAGTTGATTTAAATAATTATCTTCTTGGAATGATTTGTTGTGGATATT